AGCAGATCGTAAATGAAATCCTTAAAAGAAGAATAGCAATGAAGTGTAGAATCAAATCTTCTTTTTTTTTCAGTGAATATATATAAAAAGTTCGAAAAATTTCGATAAATTAAATTAAATTTAAAAATTTGGATCTTTTTGATCATTTAGCAAAGATATCATTTCTTACGGTTAAAGTAATAAAACCATGAACACCCATGAACATCTGACCAATCACATACGACATTTCTATTTTTTTCTGTGAAAAGTCTGGCCAGCTTACCAGCTCCACGGCACGCTTTTAGATCAGTGTTTTCATTCAGTCTCATAGCGTTTAATTTTACCAGTTCGTTTAGCTTTCTAGTATTTTTTTTTGTGCCCATCGTCAATTTACCGTTGTTAGCGTCATCTCAACGTCAAAATTATCAGGAAGCTCCAAGTTTTCCCCGGGTACTTTGGTTTTGCTTGCTCAACAAAAAATTCAATCATGAATCAAGTGCCAACAGTTAGCATAGTTCTACGATACCATGACGCAAATTATGGTAAATAAGCATAAACACAAGTTATGATGCATAAAAAATTATCTTTTTCATTCATAAGTTGACTAACAATTTTTGATTTACGGGTTAATTAAAATGCCTTCTCTTTATAGTAAATTTATTTCGTTATTTACTTTTATATTTAGAAAGTGCTAGACAGGCTTCTCCAATTAGTTTTCTCACATGTAAACTAGTTATTATAGACACATACATAAAGTTTATTATTATTATTATTATTATCTTATTACTATTTTCAGAGTCAAAGTTCTGTCAGTACGACTGCCTCATGTCACGTGGTATGGGTGCCGTGGAGAGTATGGATCGAACACATGAGAAATGCTGAGATAACATTTCATTGGGTCAATCCATTTCGAAGGCTAAGAAAGAAAWTAAAGTCTATGACAAGACCATCTAACGGATCAAAAGATAGCAAGGAAGGCCAAAATAAAAATACAACGAAGACGGTAGAAGTAGCCGTTTACCCTCGACCATCTTCAACTGATAAAGAACCTACAAACAACTCTGGCACCTATTCTAATGGGGTAAGTATTATCGATAAACCAGAAATAAGTAAACCAAGCCACACTTGCTCCTTAAAACAAGTGTGTGAGGTCACTGAGGATCAAMCTATGGACCTCTTGCTTAGCAAGCAGCACACTAAMMAACCAAGCCACACTTKCWCCTTAAAACAAGTGTGTGAGGTCACTGAGGATCAARYTATRGACCTCTTGCTTAGCAGRCAGCACACTAACMAACCAAGCCACACTTACTCCTTAAATCGATTGTAAAGTCACTGAGAATCAACTATGAACTTCTTATTTAGCAGGAAGAATATAAACCGAGAAACACTTCCAAAAAAGGTTTGCCAACCGAAAAAGCAACAGCAAATTGACTTGTCTTTGTCAAATGTCAAAGATATTCTTACGATAAATAGCGTGACTTTATAWCCAACATATGTTTTTTTCTAACCATAGGCCAATGCAGGGTGTGTAAGAGCTACTTTAGTTGAAAACTGGTGCAACTGCATTAGATACTTCCTACCATGGCGATTTCCCTTTAGCAGAAGTCGTGCCAATAGTTATACAGCTGACCAACATGCGGCAGAGGTTCGTATTGAAGGGCTGACTGATGTGCATGGAAGAGACGACAAGACAGCATCTGAAGTCGATAGGAATGGCAAGACACATTCTGATAAGGTATGAGGACAACTGATAAAGTCCCAAACTACTAATCTAATCTAAAACTGGGAGAAAAAAACCTTAGAAGTACAGGAGATGACCAACAAACAACTAAACTCACTTACGACGTGAAGGTCGAACCCGGGYCGCATTGGTGRGAGGCGCGGCGCATTAGCAGCGCATGCGCACGCGACCCKTGCTTCCCGAGATGGATAGACGTTGTTATGGCTGAACCACATTTCGGGGTGAAGTCYGGGTTTTCCAAATTACCTCCCACCGTGAAAATGAACATGTGAGCTTGTATGTAAAAGGGAATGGATGCAATGATAACGTGTGTGAGTAAAACTGTTCCATGAGGCTTTTGAAGAATCTTATGGGTCGATATTAAAGTAGTCTCCACTGCAGCTGTTCTTAWTGTCGTCATACAACGCCTGGGAGGGAGCGTTGTAAAATTTCCACTTTTCGAAAGACTTCAACTTGAGCGATCTGCTCTTTTTGCTGCTTGCATTTTCAGGATGACACTGCCATAGAAGCTTCTTGCTATAARGCATCCATAAAAAATGCTTGGATGAAAGTCACGGATAAAGACGGTCCAAAAAACACGCCCAACGCAGTAAATAAAGCCCGTGGATACGAATCTGCAGGGACGAAGGACTCAAGTTCATTGCAAACCAGCAGTGTACCGAGTACAAGTACGACGTCAAAGTCACAAAACAGTGATGCTTCTCAACTTTTAACCACCAAGGTAACCTTTTWGGAATTTTTAAACAAAATACTTGTTTTCATGACGGTTCACAATAATAATCACCTCCATAATCATCAAAATATTTAAAATTYATCTGATTATTCTGTCACGTCAACWTTCAAAGATCAAGTTGGAATTTAGCATGTTGAGTTTGCGGAGGGAGAAAAATCGGAGAGCAGGTCAAATACTGGAATGACGGAGATCTAACAAACCCTGCTACTTGCATGAATGTTTACCTAGTCCAGTAATCGAACCCGAAGCGAATAAGTTTGTTTTCGTTTGGTCATCAAACTCAAAATTGCAAAAATGTTATTATCTTTCATCAGGTTGGTAGAAATAAGAATGCACAGGATCAAAGCACAAACCCTCAAAACAGAACCACAGTCTGTACATTTGTGCGCAGTTTTAAGAAAGCTAAGTTTAGCTGGAATAATCCATTCAAACGAACAGTTCCTGCCGGCAAAGGTGATATCGAGCGAACGAGATCTACAGACGATCAGGTCGTTCCGGGAAGCCTGGAGAACGGCAGGAGCCAAAACATCAAAGAAACTCCAGTTATTGCGTTTAGTAACGTTGTAACGTCTGAAGGCGTTAGAGCTGAAAGCGTGACACAAGATGCCGGGCATGACACCCCTGGTACTACCGCTGATACAGCTGTACCTGCTAATAACGAGGTAAGGTTATGGTGAAAGAAACTAGTGCTTGTTGAGGTTTTGGATCTTGCTGAGGAACCTTTTATTTTCCTTATTAAAAGACGATGTGCAACGATGTCATAATTATAAACGTCAGTGATCAGCCCGATGTAAATAAAGCTGTCGTCACATCGAACKTACTTATATGTTCTTAGATAAATGTATATGTATATGTGTATATACTATATGACCTATTATGATTATGTACACATAAATATTTGGCATCTATTTTTGATTTCCACTTATATATTTTTCTCTAGTGTTATGACCTTATTATTTTTGCACCTTTTCCAATATATTTAGGRACATCTGCTCGATTAGTTTATCTTCTCAGATGGCCCGTACCTCCTTCCTATAGTTATAAATATATAATTTTCTTTTTCTAACTATAAATAACAATAAGGTACAAAAATAAAAAAAATTGTAACTTGTAACTTATTGCAATTTTGATGCAATGGCAATGGCATTAGCCAAGCATCATCCAGCAATGCTGCAACTAGCAATGCTATCGACGTATTTTTGGGCGCAGGATTGCTGGATGTTGCTCAGTCATAGAGCATTCTATTGAGCAACATTGTTAAGATGGCTTTAAAAATAGAACCATGTCCTTATCATGATAATCCTGGTCGTTATAGTCATGCATTGCTTTGACAAAGATATGTCTTAGCACAACTGCTAAATGATAATACGTCGACCAAGAATCGAAACTGGTGCGATTWGACTCACCAGTTTGATTTCGTAAAACTCGAACTCAAAATTAAATAATTGTATTATCTTACAGGTTTATGGAATTAAGGATGCGCAGAACACCATCACAAACCCTCGAAATAGAACAACAGTGTGTGCATTTGTGCGCAGTTTTAAGGATGCTAAVTTTAGCTGGAATAATCCATTCAAACGTACAGTTTCTGCCGGCAAAGATGTCATCGAACGAACGGGATCTACAGCAGACAAGGGGATTCAGGGAACCCTGGAAAGTGACAGGAGCCATAGAATCCCAGAATCTCCAACGTCAACTAGTACTGTCACTGGTAATACTCAGGTAAGCGATAATGATAATTTAATAATTTTAATACTCTGTTATAGTAGTAGTTGTTGTTGTTTTTGGACTTGGACTTGGACATACGTCGCGCAGTGACAATGACACCGCTACAAATCCTATAGGTCAAGAACAGTGGCGTTCATTATAAGGTGGTTCGATTGCAATGATTAGCTTCTGCCATTAAGCTTTCCAACACAGTGACAGCCTACAGCCTACAGGTAATATAAGCCAATCATAGCAGACGTCGACTTGACAGAATATCCTTTTGTCATACGCTACTACAGCCATCATTATAATCGTAACCATGCTTTCCAGTAATAGCCCTCAAGAAACGAAACTTTGTCATCACTCGCAGTAATAGTAACCTAAGGGCACGATGGACCATTAGAATATGGATGTTGGAGGGAAGAAGGACATTCAAAACTTTTCTTGCCAAAAATAAGAGTATTCTATTTTTGTCAGGTACCCTCAACAACGCCTGCGCGAATGTACAAGCCCGCTGGACGACCTGTACCGGCATGGGGAATGGAAATAGACGTTGAGGCGTCTACCAACAACAGAGGTGAGTAATGACACACATCCGATAGACTAACATATACCATTTCAAGACTTTTATATGCCATGGTAGTTCCGCATCACCCCTCAACCCATATTTTAGTATTCTATCTAAAAACGTGGATGTTAAAGCAAGTTAACGATTTCGAACGGTAAACAGTTGTACACGAGGACCGTCTATCTGCAATAGGAGTGTTTTCTGTTTGCTTTTGTTTCTCTGTTCTTTGAGGATTTCCCCCCCTCGGATCCTCTAACTTTCCTTCGCAAAAATCTGCCATATCTGATTCACATTTAAAATCTTCTCAATTTTCCACCAGAAACATCTACTTCTAGATTCATATCTTTCTTTTCATTTCAGCATAAATTGTTAATATAGAATAACTTGAAATCCTTTAATGTTTTTAGTTTATGGAATAAAGACACTCAACAGCTACACTCCAGCATCTTTGTTCCTCGCCACCAACCAGTCACAGACACAACCAAGTCAAACTATCCCTTCTTCATCTAAGGGACCAACAACAAACTGTGGGGTACCCCCAGCCACCAGCCAGTCACAACCAAGTGAGACTATTCCTTCTTCACTTAACGGACCAACAACAGAATGTGGGGTAGGCCTCGCTCCAGGGAAGCCATCTTCATCGACTGTACCCTCCACAAAAAGCAGCAACAAAAAGAACAAGTTTTCCTTTTTTCGATCGAAATCGAAGCACGCTCGAGAAGGACCAAAACAAAGGCGTCTTTCCAAAAGACGGAATACCATAAGACCTCTATAAAGAGATCCATTATATGGCATTGCTCAAAACTACTAATTACTGGAAAGTTTGGTTTAAAAATCAGTGTCATTAATGAAAGGCCAAGAAACCCCTGCCTAATAATATACAAGAGCTGAAATGGCAATATCAATTTCGGAATGTAAACAAACTCAAGCCAAACAAAAAGAAAAGAGGCATTCTCTATATTCACATCCCCATAATGCCTTACGTCTTTGGGGGGTAACCAATCAAAAAACTGTCCCAAATTGAAAGGTTTCTTAACTGAATTTATACTATACCTGCTTTTATCTGTACAATACTGATTATCAGTTTATTCCAAGTTATTTTTGCGTGTACAGATCATCAAGAGTTTTGGTCTTACAGAAAATGTATTCACTTACGAAAAATTTTTTAAAATTTACCTTAAACGGCTTTAAGCTTCTATCTTTTTCTATTTTTTTACTTCTTCATTTTATTTTTGGATACCAAACAAGGTATTTTCAACATTGTCTGATCAGCCTTCAGCAAAATAAGTGGGTTTTTACCCTCTGGTTATCCCCCAAAGACGCAAAGTATTATGGGGATGTGAAAGTAGAGACTCTATTGTGCGACTCCTACCCCTAGAGAGTTCAACTTCTTTTTCTCTTTTCTAATTATAAAAGCTGACTACGAACTAACACAGAAAAATGAAATAACCTTCTATGATCTCTGAGTTAATGGCTGTCGACAATCGATTTCAAATTCCCAATTAAATGGGGTTGACTGAAATTTATAGAGCAAAACCGCAGCATTAACTCTAATATATATGACGCTCTTTTTTAACGAAAATAAACAGCCTGAAAATAAAAGAATATATATATATCGCTTTTTTTTCTTTATACGTGTAGCCTGTTGACCAAAAAAACCTATTTGGCAAGGGAACTATCATACAATGCAGTGCACTTGCTGTGAATTGGGTTAGGACGTTGACTTATTGGGAATCATTAGACTTTATTATTAATCTCATTATCATTTTAACTGTTGAAAAACCCTAAAGTGGACGCAAAACATTTKATCCATTTTATTGATAARTCRAAACGCTTTCATGAGGACGCCAGTGGGCCTTCATGCAACCGACACACTTATTCCCCAGTCTTTTTACTATAACAACTCACCTTTAAGCCAATAGAGTCGTTCAAGTTAATGTAACTCCACCACCACCCCGACGGAATGTACATAATCTCCCCAGGCCTCTGGACGCATTCTAGAGGCTGACGGTCAGCCTGTAAGTGAGGCTGAGTATAGGCCCACCACGTGAAAGGCTCAGATGACTGAGAGTCCTGGACGCGATATTTGTTGTGGACAACTCCTGTAAAACAAAAAGCGGCAACGCAATAATTGAGTGATTGTTTGTTATGTTGACCAATACAGTCATAACTGTCCAACACTCACCTGGAGGAAAGAAAGTGTTTGGCGGGTACAAACCCCATCGTTTATACCCCAAAATCAATGCACTCCACAGAGATCCATTGATAGTCTCTACTCGCCAGTGGTACCCAGACCTCTTTGGTTCCATATGGAAAGAAAATCGAGAGGGCCTGATATCTGAATCAACTATCTGAAGAAAATACGAGAGGAAAATGAAAAAAACCTGTACAAACTAGTTTGTATTTAATAAACACTGCGACATTCACCGAATGAGATAAGAGAAAGAGGCTATTACATCACGTGATGGCAGCCATGACAGGAGGCATAACAATAGAGTCGTTCTCCCCTGGGAAACTGAATCCTTTCTAATGTGAATCAGATTAGACCAGATTCAATTGTTCCTGCCTCCTGTCATGGCTGCCATCGCGTGATGGTGCAAAGCCTCTATAGAGGAAGTATTTTACTCTATTTATTCATTTTCATCCCTCTGCAAAACCTAACGAGCTGGATTTTAATCTGTGAGTTAGCCATACTCGGACTTAAATCAGACGAGAGGTAGTTTCAGTTCGTTCTAACGGTTAGCAGTTCCCTAACTAATGGGCCTTTTTCACGCGGGAAGCCATATTGGTTTGAACAATTGATTCCACCACGCAAGGACTTGAGAGTAAATTTATGTTGGTTAAACAAAGGTTTTTATTCTCGTGAGAAAAAACATGGCCGCCGTGTGATAAAGGTCCGTAGATCAGCCTAGAGTTTGCTTCAGCAGTTTGATTTGTGAGTTAGCCGTTCC